CAGCTCAGTGACCCCCAGCTCAGTGACCCCCAGCTCAGTGACCCCCAGTCAGTGACTCCCAGCTCAGTGACCCCCAGCTCTGTGAACCCCAGCTCTGTGAACCCCAGCTCAGTGATCCCCAGCTCAGTGACCCCCACTCAGTGACCCCCAGCTCAGTGACCCCCAGCTCAGTGACCCCCAGCTCTGTGACCCCCAGCTCAGTGACCCCCAGCTCAGTGATCCCCAGCTCAGCACCAAGAGAAAGTAAGGCAGGGGCTCTCAAGTGCAGCCGCAGAGACAGGGTCAGGGTGAGGAGAACCTTGTATTCACCACGACCCCCCTCCACCGTCAGTGAGCAGGCGAGGCGTTGTGGAGCTGAGGAGTGTGTGTGTGTGTCTGTGTGTGTGTGTGTGGGTGTGTGTGTGTGTGTGTGTGTGTACAGGACAGGCAGAAGTGGATTTGCCCCTGGAGGCTCCGCCAGGGATGACCCTGTATGGGGAGCTGGGTGCCGCTGGGGGTCCCGGGAAAGAGGAGCTTGTCACTGCCGGCGGGGGAGAGGACGGGGCCGGGGCAGGCCGGGGGCTGGACCCGCTCACTGGCCCCGGGTATGGAGAGGAAGGGGCCAGGCGAGAAGCTGAGCACCAGAGCAGCAGTGAGCAGAGCAGGGGGAAGCTGCTGAAACCTCCGTACTCCTACATCGCCCTGATCACCATGGCCATCCTCCAGAGTCCACACAAGAAGGTGACCCTGAGCGGGATCTGTGAGTTTATCAGCGCCCGCTTCCCTTATTACCGAGAGAAATTCCCAGCCTGGCAGAACTCCATCCGCCACAACCTGTCCCTCAATGACTGCTTCATCAAGATGCCCCGGGAGCCGGGTAACCCGGGCAAGGGCAGCTACTGGATCTTGGACCCAGCCTCCGAGGATATGTTCGAGAATGGCAGCTTCCTGCGGAGGAGAAGGCGCTTCAAGAGGCAGAACCAGAGGGAGAGCTCAGACTGCCTGCTCCCAGATCCCTACAGCCGGCCCTACCTGCCCCTAGCTCCCTCCTGCCTCCCCCCAGCTCCCTCCTGCCTGCCCCCAGCTCCCTCCTGCCTGCCCCCAGCTTCCTCCTGCCTGCCCCCAGCTTCCTCCTGCCTCCCTCCGGCTCCATCCTGCCTGCCCCCAGCTCCATCCTGCCTGCCCCCAGCTCCCTCCTGCCTCCCCCCAGCTCCCTCCTGCCGACCCTACCTGCCCCCTCCAGCCTACAGCTACCTGGCCCTCCCTGATGCTGCCCTCCTCTGCTGCCCTGCCTACAGCCTCCGGCCAAAGCCCCAGGCGGCCAGCAACAGCGGCTCAGAGCCCGGCTCTGTTAGCCTCCTCCACCGCACCTCATTCAGCATCGAGAGCCTTATCGGAGCTGGCCCCAGTCCCGCTGTGAGCCTCCCAGCCTGGGTTAACCCTCAGCTCCAGCCTCCTTACTGTAGCTTTCTGCAGACCAGCCCTTGCCTGCTCTCCACGGTCCTAAACATGTCCACAAGAACCGTTTACAGCCCCGGGAATGGAACTCCGATCGGAGCCCTCTCCACCAGGCTCCCTCTCTGCTACCCACCCTAAATAAAACGTTGTGCTGCCCTCAATCTCCTACAGGACATTGTTTAAATCCAAACCGAGCCCGAAACCCTCTGTTAAATCACCTGGAGACATCACTGTAGGACTGAAGGTGCAGCCCGATCGACGATTCAACCCGTAGTTTTCCAAACTGTAGGCTTCCCCCATTTACAACAAGAACTGATGTACCGCTCTCCCCCCTCTCTGTTCACATCGGCCAGCACACTGAGCTCGGGACCATCACCCTGAACTTCAAATCCTGCGGAGTAGAGGCAGGAGCATGTTGGACTCAAGTGAGAGAGGCAACACCGGTGAAGGGAGAATGTTTCTAACAAGAGATCACCCCGAAACGTTCACTGTTTCTGCTCTGTACTTCCACGGTAAGGAAAAGTTGTTTTCGTTTCAGACATCTTCTGATCAACCAGTCCAGCAGTGTAATTACACACAAGTGGAACTCGAACCCTAATCTTCTAGCTCAGAGGTAGGGACACAGTGCTGTGCCACAAGGACCCCAATTTCATCTCACAGTTGATTGCTGGGTCGTGGGGAGCTGAACTCAACGCTGTGCATTTACAACATCAAGTCATCGACATAGTTCATACAGGCGGAGGCTAAATGCGACTAAAATTCGACAATAATGTCTCGTTGGGTTGTCTATCGTTAGACGCTAAGACTATTTATTTGAAGTTAGGGGTTACAATTCAAAGTGAAGATCTCTCGGGCAGGTCATTGATATGTGAGATAACAAGGTGTAGAGCTGGATGAACACAGCAGGCCAAGCAGCATCAAAGGAGCAGGAAGGCTGACGTTTCGGGCCTAGACCCTTCTTCAGAAATGTGAATTTGAGTGTGTAGGATGAACGAGTGCGAATTAATGGTGAACCGTTTCTTTTTATTTTTAAAAAACAAAATCCCAATGTGACGGTAGTTAACAGCCGCCTGTAGAAACAACTTGTTCTTGTGCAACAGGTAAATAAAAAGTGTGCAGTGTCAGGTTAGTGTCTTGTTCGGTAACTGATAGTTTTCAGAAATCGTTTGGGTTTGTTATTGAAAGCTCAGCCTTGAAAACAAAAATCCGATGGAATGTTGCAGTTCCAATTGAGTTTACCTTTGGTAGTGCGTGTGTACATTCCCACTCTGTTCTAATAATTCTAAATGTTCCGTTCTGAACAAGGCTCACTGGACTCGAAAGATTAGGAACACAGGAACAGGAGTGGCCATTCGGACCTGGTCCACCATTCATGAAGATCACGGCTGATCTATGGTCTATCTCGATATCCCATATTCCTTAATACCTTCCCACAGCAAAAAGATATCAAACCTTAACTCTCCGCAGATGCGGCCAAATCTTCTGAGTTTCCCAAACATTCTCTGTTTTGGTTCCTTCTCTATTCTCTCTTTGTTAATCTGGCTTTTGATGAAAGAATATACACTGCACCCTCTTTGGGATGGGGTTTTAGTCAAGGCTCCTACTCACTCTCACATCTGACATTATAAATGGGAGCAGGAGTAAACCACACAGCTGCCGGAGTCTGCTCCTCCATGAATGAATTCTTCATTCCCACCCCAATTCCATCCTTGCAGGAGATACCAAACCGAGGCGTACGCAAAGGATGCTCCTCAGCGAAAAGGAGACGGTTACCTTATAGTCCGGAACCAGGTAGGATCCGTACTCCCACTGTCCTGGCCAATTCTTACCCAGCAACCAACCTCAGGAAAATAATACAGTGCCTGGTGATTGTCAACGTGCTCTTTTTGGGATGTTGGGAAGCTAGAGGGAATATTAACAATAATTCGTGTGGAATAAGAACCGAAAGAACTGCGGATGCTGCCAATCGGAAACAAAAACAGAAATCGCTGGAAAGGCTCAGCAGGCCTGGCAGCATGTGTGGAGAAAAATCAGAGTTAACGTTTCGGGTCGAGTGACCTTTCCTCAGAACACATTCTTGGAGGATGTTCGGGTATGTTGCGTAAATAAGCCTCGTGAGAACTGAGATTACATTATATTTTTTTAAAGTCGTATTGCCTTGCTCAGTTGTGTCGGAAAGTTTTGTAAAGCATACTGAAGGTAATCATATTATAACAAAAATGCATTTTGGTTGATTTTGATTCAAATGTAGCAGTGATGGAATTCTAAACATACATTCCATGGAAAAGATCGAAGGAATTGCGGAGCTTGTTAGGAACGGTCCTGATTTGCTGAACATAATCATATTTGTGTACAATAAAGATTACTCCTGTTACACTGACGGGTTTACTGTTCCGATTCGCTTAAAATAAAACAATGATGTTTTCACATGCAAACAGTATTGACCATAAATAACCTACGACTTATCCTTCTCAAAACGAACGAAAATATTATTTTAAAAGAGCGGATCAGCACGATTTACTTAGATTATTGTTACAAATAAACAGATCCCAGCTCAGAGTAAAGTTGAATAACTGCGTAAACTGTCAGACCTATAAATTCGGACCAGATTCCTTTCGATTTAAATTCAGATTTTCCTTTCCAAGCGATTCTGAATAAAGAGGTTTATATGAACCTATCGAATCTGTACCGTCAAAAATATATTACTACCTACAGTAGTCTTCACTTTCCCGCACTAGTCTTGCTTGTCATAGCTATGTTAAATTGAAGAAGGTATTTGTGAACACATTCATTAGCAATGTGGCCGGAATAATATTTCGAAAACCTCCTAAATGTTTCAACTAACTTAAACAATTGCTTTCAAACTCGAACTGGCAATAAGGCAGTGAGGGCTCGATAAATCTTTGATATTATTTCAATGGAGCATCATGACCTCGTGATCGTTCTTTTGTTTTCACGAGTTGGAGATTTGTTCTTTATTTTAGAAGGTTCCTAACTACTGTTACGCTGTTAAATCGGTTCAAGAGGGTAGCTCATTACCACCTTCTCAAAGGCAACTAGCGATGTGCAATAAATGCTGGCCCAGCTAGCGACATCCACGTCCCAAGAGTGAACTTTAAAAAAAAAATATCAATGGAGAAAGATGTATACTGCAACACCATTGCGTTTTAAATACTTTCCTATCAGTGCCTAGTCCAGTAATCTGAAGACCTTATTTTAGCAGGGGACATCAGGTTATTAGTTTAATTTTTATAAATAGATGAAATAACCTGCACATCATAAATGCTACAGTACAGGAGGAGGCCATCCCCCTCTTTAAATCTGGACCAATTCTTTGGTCACACACACTCTCCCCATGCCTTTACAATTGCTGCTGTTTGCAAGCAAAATTCAATCCTATTTTGAAAACTACTATTGATTAATCACCCATCACCAGATCAGACATTCCAAATCCTAACTATTCTGTGTGTTTAAAAAGAAACCCTGTTTTCATGCACTTTTATTAAATCAGCACCATTTTGACATCAACAATTGGAAACTGTTTCTCTTTATCTGTTCTATCCAAGCTAATAATTTAAAACAGTCCTATCAGATCCTCACCTCGCCTCCTCTAATACAAAGGGATAAATACCCGGTCTATTCATGTACAATAATCCTAAATTCATTGGAGCAAACCTCTTCTCTTTCCCAACATTTTAAAGTCTTCCTTAAGTAGACAACCCAAAATTGGATATTATTCTTCCACTGGGGTCAAGGCAGTGTTTTGAAAAGATTTAATAAAACTTGTTTGTTGTATTCTATGTCTTCAGTTTCAATGCCCAGGATTCCATACACTTTATCGACTAATTTGTTAACCTGTCCTACCACTTTTACACATATATGTACAATCATCTCTAGATTTCTTCTTAGAATTTCCCCTTAAAATTTATCATTTAGTACCACCTGATTCTTCTGCTACAATATATAATCTTACACTTTTCTGCACTGTATTTCATCTGCCAATTATCTGCCCATTCTGCAAAATATCTAGTTGCCCCTTGTCTAAGTCATCAAAATAGCAGTATTCCTACTTCTCAACATTGGAAATAACAGGTGACTTAGAAATGATGTTTCCTTATGTTGGGCAACTAGAATAAAAAGTTTAGAATAAGGGGTAGCAGTTTTAAAAAAGACGTGGAGAAATTATTTCTTTCAAAGCGTTGTATATCTGTTGAATTCACTACCCCAGAGAGCTGTAGATGCTGTGCCATCAAATACATTTAAGGAGGAGAAAGACAGATTTTTAATTAATAATGGGTTGAAGGGTTATGGAAAGCAGGCAGGAAGGTGGAGTTGAGGCCGAGATGAGATCAAATGATTGTATCAAATGGTGGAGCAGACTAAAGGGGCTGAATAGCCTACTGCTGCTCCTAGTTCTTATGCTTTCTTTCAAGTCTGAGAAGCAGCTATTAACCACAACTCTGTTTTCTATTCCTTAACTATTTTTATAAATATGCTGCCATGATCCTTTTAATCACATAGGTTTCAATTTTAACAACCCTACTCTACTTTGCTTCTTCAAGAACCTTCTGGAAATCTGTGAACACATTATCTGAAAAAAAACAAAGTGCTGGAAACAACAGGTCTGGTCGCATTTGTGGAGGCAGAAACAGAACCATGTTTCAAGTTGAATATGAATTTTTCAGAACACATCATTTGCACAGATTTGTCAAGGGGAAAGTACTGGAAAGTGAACAGTTTTGCAAAAAGAAAATGACATTAAAAGAAATCATTAGAATATTTTTGAGATTGTATCAAACAGGGTGGATAAAAGAGTGACCAGCAGCAGTACATTTGGCTTTCCAAAATACATTTGATAAGACACCGCACAAAAAACTAATATGCAAGGTAAGGGTACATAGGGTTGGGGGTAAAACATGAGGATTAGTTAATAGGCAGAAAGCAAAAAAAAAGGAATAAATGGGGCATTTTCAAATTGGTGGGCTGTGAATTGGAGAGTACCACAAGAATCAGAGCTTGGGCTTCAGGAATTTACGATATTTATTAATTACTAGACTGAGAGATAGAGGTTAATGTGTCTAAATTTGATGGTGATACAAATCCCATGAGTATGGAAGTAATGAGGAAGACACAAAGAG